GAGAGAGAGAGAGAAACATCGATGTGAAAGGAACACATCGAGTGACTGCCACCCGCACAACCGACCAGGGCCGGGGACAAACTGCAACCGAGGTCCGCGCCCTTAGCAGGAACCGAATCCGGGTCTCTCAGGACCGCAGGCCGACGCTCTTACTGCTGAGCCAAACCGGCCAGGGCAGAAGTAGGTCTTTATAAGAGCTTTTTAGCAGACTGGAAACTTTTACTTAAAATTCCAAAAGTCTACCTCCCATTGAGATTGCCTGTCTTTTCCGTTTATTTCTCTCTTTTTGAATCTAGGTAAAAATCATAATAAAAAGTTATCAGTTATGGAGACCTAATCTTGTTTCTAATAGAGTTGCAATTCCAACCCATGCACCAGTGGCAAAAAGCAAGGAAGTTGTGTCTCACTGGCACTTTTTCTTTGTACAGATTGGGATGACCCCATCAGCATTGATAAAATTATAAGGATATACCATTTTCATTCATTTTTATCCTTCATGCAGATGCAGGAATAGAAACTATTTTAAGTAAAAATCCCCTCCGCCTTTCTTTTTTTTTTTTATCCTCACCTGAGGATACTTTTCATTTTTTTGTTCAGGTAGAGTGGGAGGGAGAGAGAGGAACAGGGGGTGGGGGGGGGAGAGAGAGAGAGAGAGAGAGAGAGAAAGAAACATCGACATGAAAGGGACACATTGAGTGGCTGTCACCCGCACGACCAACCAGGGCTAGGGACAAACTGCAACCGAGGTACGTGCCCTTAGCGGGAACCAAATCCAGTCTCTGGAGCGCAGACCAACGCTCCAACCGCTGAGCCAAACCAGTCAGGGTCCCTCCGCCTTTATTCTTTGCAAATTCACTCACACCATGTATTAGTTTCCTAGGGCTTCCATAGCAAGTGAACACTGTGTGCGTGGCTCAAAGTGTTGTTCTCTCACAGTTTTGGAGGCTGGAAATCTGAAATCAAGGTGTTGACAGGATCGTGTTCTCTTAGAACCCTCTGGGAACATTCTTGGTCTGTCACAGCTTCTGGCAGCCCCAGGCCTTGTTATGAGTTGAACAGTGTCCCCCCACAAGAGGTATATTGAAATACTAATCCCTGGTACCTACCTTGCTTGTGGCAGCACAATTACAATCTCTGCGTCCATCTTCATGTGGCCATTTGCTCTGTGTTTCTCTGTCCTCATATGGCATTTTCCTCTCCTGATAAGGACACCAGTTGTAATCGATTTGGACCCATTGTAATGACCTCTTTGAAACTTGATTACACCTACAAATACCCTATTTCCAAGTAAAATCACATTTATAGGTACCAGGGATTAGTATTTCAACATATCTGTTTTGGGGAAACACAGTTCAACTCATAACAAGGCCCTAGTCATACATTTGGCATTTATAGGGATAAAATTACAGCTGCCAGGGAAGGTCCTGGCCAGAAGGCAAAGGTGGGTGGGGAGGCTACAGCATCCCAGCTGGCTTCATCTCCCCACCCCCTTTCCCCTTGGTTTCTCTAAAGTTTTGCTTCCGTCCTGGGAACTGATTTAACTTTTCTTTTCCTCCCGATGTAGTACAAACTTTTAGCACTTTATGCCCATCCAAAGCTCACCATGGGATCTTGGGCCTCCCAGGGCTGTCTTTGTTTCTTCTTTTTTTCTGTCATGTAGCCAGCAGAGCCAGAAGTAGCCTGTCTGTCCAGTGAGCTGGCCCTCCTGCAGTCAGATCTGTCATTTTGACCTCTGTCAACTTTACCTCCTATCAGACAGCAGCTTAGCTGCCCTTTCAAGCCACGAACATACCTCCTATCAGACAGCAGCTTAGCTGCCCTTTCAAACCACAAACAGCTCCCAGGCACCAGAGTACCATCCCCTCCCTCTTCATCCTTCTGCTTCCCAGACAGTACTTTTGCCATATTTCAGTGGGTTGGGGTGTCCTAGCAAATATACTTCTGGTGTTTCAAAGACCATCCCAGGCCCTATTAGTAAGACTCTGTCAACTCAACATGTAGTTGCACTCATGACTATGATTTCGTATAACAAAAGGACATGGACAGACCAGCAAACGGCAAGGGCTCTTGGGGAGAAAGCTGCAGGAAACCAGGGACAAGCTGTTAAGAGTCCTTTCCCAGTGGAGTCACACAGAGTGCACCTAGCAATGAGTTGTGACATGTGAAATGTTACCTACCAGGGAGGCTCGTTAGAAACCCAGTGCTCAGGATTTTTCTTTTTTCTTTTTAATCCTTACCTGAGGATATTTTTACATTTATCTTCTGATAGAGTGGGGGTGGGGAGGAGAGAAACATCAATGTGAGAGGGACACATCGACCAGTTGCCTCCTGCACAACATGACCAGGGCTAGGGATGGACCGCAACCGAGGTACATGCCCTTGACTGGAATTGAACCAGGCGACTCTTTGGTCCATGGGCCAACACTCTAATCGCTGAGCCAGACTGGCCAAGGCATTGCTCAGGATTTTTACTGACAGTGGATGATGTGAGCATCGTCTGCCTAGCATGTCTCCAAACACCAGTCTCCCAGAAGGAAAGCAGGTGTTCGGGATCAATGCTGTTGTCTGCACAGTTTAGACAGTGTGAAGAATATCAGTTCATGGTGTGATACCTCTCAAATCCAAGGTTCCAGACACCATCCACGGCCAGCTGTACCTCAGTCGTTTCTAAGGATGAAAAGTTTAGGCCTGAGTCCTGGCCGGTTTAGCTCAGCGGTTAGAGCGTTGGCCCATGGACCAAAGAGTCACTGGTTTAATTCCAGTCATAGGCATGTACCTTGGTTGTAGTTTGGTCCCTGACCCTGGTCAGGTTGTGCAGGAGGCAACTGGTTGATGTCTCTCTCTCATGCTCCCACTCTATCAGAAGATAAATGGAAAAATATCCTTGGGTGAGGATTTGAAAGGAAAAAAAACAGTTCAGGCCTGAGATGTCAATTTTTCTTCTTTTTTTTTTTTTTTTTTTTTTTTATCCTCACCCGAGGACATTTTCCCATTTTTTTGTTCAGGTAGAGTGGGAGGGAGAGAGAGGAACAGAGAGAGAGAGAGAGAAACATCGATGTGAAAGGAACACATCGAGTGGCTGCCACCCACACGACCGACCAGGGCCGGGGACAAACTGCAACCGAGGTACGCGCCCTTAGCGGGAACCGAACCCGGGTCTCTCAGGACCGCAGGTCGACGCTCTAACCGCTGAGCCAAACTGGCCAGGGCTCAATTTTTCTTCTGTACAATTGGTAAGGGAACTTTATTAGAGGAAACACTACAGATAACTGTCCTAACATTAGTTCAGCTGACTTTGGGCCCTCCTGTCATTACCTGTACCAACAATAGAAATAGTCCTATTATGCTGTTACTCTGTTGAATAGGTAAATTCTGACAGCAGAATTGACAGAGTATTTTTTCTGTCTCCTCTCATGGATATCAGTGGGTTGATATTCCTTTGTTTTAAAACAATAGGACTTAAAGGAAGTGTGTAGCTCAGTGGTTCACATGGGATTGGTCAGCATGTTTTTGGGTCCAGTGGGGGAGGGATATGGAAATGAGGTGCATTGGCAGTGCAGCCTCTAGGGTGATTTGTGGGGAATCAGCTTTTCCTGGAATTTGAGATGAGGAAGTATTTCCTTTGTAGGAGGTCACTGGCGCATCTTTTATGCATTTTTTAATCAAGGGCAGATTTACCACCGGATGTTTTTTACTTCAGTTGACTCCTTGCCAAAGAAGGACTGTTAACCTTGTCCTCAAGGTCAGCAAGAGTATTCTTATGAGAAATTTAAAATACTGATTCAAAAAGACATACACACCCCTATGTTCATTGCAGCATGGCTTACAATAGCCAAGATATGTAAGCAATCTAAGTGTTCATCGACAGACGAATGGATAGAGATATGGTACATATATATAATGGAATATTACTCAGACGTAAAAAAGAATGAAATCTTACCATTTATGACCACATGGATGTACCTAGAGAGTATTAGGCTAACTGAAATAAGTCAGAGAAAGACAAATACATATGATCTTACTTACATGTGGAATCTAAAAAAACAAAATAAACAAACAGACTCATAGATACGGATAACAAATTGATAGTTGCCATGTGGGAAGGGGATTGAGGAGCTGGGTGAAAAGGGGAAGAGATTAATAAATACAAATTATAGTTACAAAATAGTCATGGGACTGAAAAGTATAGCATAGGGAATATAGTAAATGATATTGTAATAGCCCAGCCGGTGTGGCTCAGTTGGTTGAACATCGACCCATGCGTCAAGAGATCACCCATTTGATTTCCAGTCAGGGCACATACTCAGTGAGGGGCGTGCAGGAGGCAGCCGATTGATGTTTCTCTCTCATCGATGTTTCTCTCTCTCTCTCTCCCTCTCCCTTCCTCTCTCTCTAAAATCAATTTTAAAAATTTTAGGAAAACAATATTATAATAACTATGTATGCTATCAGGTGGGTACTTACTAGAGTGATCACTTTGTATGTTATATAAATGTCGAATCACTATGGCATTAACCTGAAACTAATATAGTATTGTATGTCAACTATAATTGAAAAATAAAATTATTATTTTTAAATTGTTTTAAAAACCCTCATCCAGGTTTGACTTTGGGCTTCATGTAGTACTGAATGATGTGGTATGCAGTAGGGAAGGAGCTGAAGTTCTTTGTGTCATGTGGGATTGGTGGGTCATAAAGTGCAAATATGTGTTTAATTTACTTAGCATTTCTTTAATTTCTCTAACGTGGTCTGAACCCTTTGGTTAGCGAATAAGTCTCGATGTGGTCACAGTAAAAATGTAGAGTAAGTTCTTTGTGTTAGTGATATTTTAAATCTATGAAGACTTGAATGTGGACATGGAGTAAGAGGTTCTGATGACCGAATCATAGACAGGATGTTAGGGGGTCACAGAATCTTGTTTAAACTTCCTGTAAATTGAGTTCAGTTGCTCAGTACCTTGAGTCTCACCCATTCTCCTGCACATACATTGAATGTTTTAGGACGCAGTGGTCTTTGAGGATGTGGCTGTGGACTTCTCCCAGGAGGAGTGGGCTTTGCTGGATGCTGCTCAGAGGGAGCTCTACAGAGATGTGATGCTGGAGACCTTCAGAAACTTGGCCTCATTGGGTAAGAATAACACTGTTCCTTCACTTAGTCATTTAGAGAACATGCGTTTCTTGCATAAAGACTGTTCCCAGATTTGGAATGTGGAAAGGGAATACATTAATGAATAAGAAAGACATCATCGTAACTGGCATAGAGTTAGAATCTAATATCTCCTCCAAGAGAATGAGAATCTATTTATTAAACTGAGTTTTTTTTGTGTGTAAAAAAGTGTTATCAGTGGATATAGGTTTCATGGGTCATTAAGGGGCCCAGTGAAGTTTGTTTTTGTAACTTTGTGAAGATTTTACTGTTTATTAAATTGCTTACCATTTTGGCCTGGTACTTGTTATTATTGAAGTCCTGACAAAGCTAACCTCCTCAGTGTCTTTTTTGGCTAACAGGTGCCTTTATTCTTCTTGTAAGATTTGTTCCCTTTCTGTTTTCAGATGATGAGACTCAATTTAGGGCTAATGAGTCAGTTTCTCAGCAGGATATTTATGGGAATAAAATATCTAAGGAAGATAAAATAGCAACGTTCACCAGAAATTCTTGGGTCTCCATCTTAGGAAAAATTTGGGAAGAACCTAGCATTGAAGCTCAGCACACAAACCAGGGGAGATATCTGAGGTGAGTTGCATTCCAGGAGGAATCTTAGTATGTCATGAAATTTAAAAAGCAAACAAACCAAAAACCCACTTAAGTCTAGATCAAATTTGTTTATTTGTAGATTTTCACCAAAAAAAAAACAAACCCCCAAACTCCAACTTTATTAAATATGACATAGATGTTGAGTGTTAGAAACAGTTGAAAAGAATTAGGAAAAAAGCTCATGTTTAAGAAACACTATTTTCATAATGGCTGTGGCCAATTTATTCAGCTCATTCCACTTTAAAACAAGTCACATAGGGTAGAAAACAACACATTCACTGAAATTGGTGAAAATGTAATTCTAATAATAAGTCATTATTATCAAACTATTGATAACATGTTTCTCACTTTTTAACAGAAACCATGTGATAGAGAGACTCTGTGAAAGTAATGATCTATGTGGAGAAGGCTTCAGTCAGATTTCAAATCTTAATCTGTACCAAAAAACTCTTACTGAAGTAAAACAGTATGAATGCAATGCATTTGCAAAAGTTCTCATGCATAAGTCTTCCCTCAAGAGTCACATTGCCACTCACACTGGACACAAATCATATCAGTGTCAGGAATGTGGGCAGGCCTACAGTTGTTCACACCTAAGAATGCCTGTGAGAACTCACAAAGGAGAGAGGCCCTATGCATGTAAATTATGTGGAAAAACCTTTCCTCGAACTTCTTCCCTCAACCGGCATATAAGGATTCATTCTGCAGAGAAAACCTATGAATGTCAGCAATGTGGGAAAGCCTTCATTGACTTTTCAAGTCTTACTAGTCATGTGAGAACGCACACTGGAGAGAAGCCCTATAAATGTAAGGAATGTGGGAAAGCCTTCAGCTATTCCTCAACTTTTCGAAGACACATGATAACACACACTGGAGAGAAGCCCTATAAATGTAAGGAATGTGGGGAAGTCTTCAGCTATTCTTCAACTTTTCGAAGACATATGATATCACACACTGGGGAAACACCACATAAATGTAAGGAATGTGGAGAAGCCTTCAGTTACTTCTCGGCTTTTCGAAGACACATGATATCACACACTGGAGAGAAACCCTATGAATGTAAACAGTGTGGGAAAACCTTCATTTATCTTCAATCCTTTAGAAGACATGAAAGGATTCATACGGGAGAGAAACCTTATGAATGTAAACAGTGTGGGAAAACCTTTATTTACCCCCAGTCATTCCGAAGACACGAAAGGACTCATGGTGGAGAGAAACCCTATGAATGTAACCAGTGTGGGAAAGCCTTCAGCCATCCCTCATCCTTTCGAGGACATATGAGAGTGCACACTGGAGAGAAACCGTATGAATGCACTCAGTGTGGGAAAACTTTCAACTGGCCCATATCCTTACGAAAACATATGAGAACACACATGAAAGAAAAGCCCTATGAATGTAAACAATGTGGAAAAGCCTTTAATTTGTCTGCTTGTTTTCGAGAACATGTGAGAATGCATCCTGGAGACAAATCGTATGAATGCAAACTATGTGGGAAAGTGTTCTATTGCCACATATCCTTACAAAAACACATGAGAAGGCACACTGCCGAGAAACTTTATGAATGCAAGCAGTGTGGGAAAGCTTTCAGTTGGCCCGAACTTTTGCAACAGCATGTGAGAACACACACTGCAGAGAAACCTTATGAGTGTAAGGAATGCGGGAAAGTCTTCAAATGGCCGTCATCTTTACCGATACATATGAGAATGCATACTGGAGAGAAACCTTATGAATGTAAACAATGTGGAAAAGCCTTCAGTTGTTCCTCATCCTTAAGAAGACATATGAGAACACACACTACAGAAAAACACTGCGTCTGTAATGCAGGAAGCCCTCCTGCAAATGAATTCATGTCCAGTGCTTCAGAAAAGATGCACCAGGAGAGAAATCTTATGAAAGTTGTAAATATGGTGTTGCCTTTATGAGTACCTCATCGTGAAAATGGACCCATAGGTAGTGTATTTCTAGTTCTTTTGCAAATAAACATTTAGGTGAAAAATAACTCTCCAAGTAATCTTAGAGTACACAAAATTTGCATGTAGTGTTTTTTCTTGCATTTCAGTAAACAAAACTTTTATCTTTAGTTTGTGGACTCAGATGATTTGAAGTATATTTTCAATATGTAAGTGTTTTATATTCAATATGTAAGTTTTAATTTCTTCTTTATATTGTCCTTTGAGGGGTTATTGGAACAATGACACTTTGGTATTTGTTGGATGTTTTTGTTTTTTATTTAATCCTCACCTGAGGACGTTTTTTGCATTTATCTTCAGATAGAGTGGCGAGGGGGAGAGAGAGAGGGAGAAACATCAATGTGAGAGAGAGACACCGAGTGGTTGCCACCCACATGACCCCAACCAGGGCCAGGGACAAACTGCAACCGAGGTACATGCCCTTAGCAGGAACTGAACTCGGGACTCTCCAGTCTGCAGGCTGATGCTCTAACTGCTGAGCCCAACTGGCCAGGGCTGTTGGATGTTTCTTACTGGCTTAATATGGCACATACTGATATCCCCCATTATATATTTTCTACCTTTCTTGTTGAGAATATTTATTTATTTTTGGTCAGAGGAACCGTGTTCTATTTTTCTTACTAAGTTTTTTTATAATTATGAAATGAGAATTATTGTTTCCAATTTTTGCCTGTCACTGTTTTTTCTTGCTTGTGATTGGGAATTGGACAGGCAGTATTTCCTTAAGAGACACCTATGACATGACTATGAGATAGAGAGTTCAAGATGGTTCTTTTGGATTGTGCTATGTCAACGTGGGTAATGTTGGGAACTACATGTCCCAGAATCCCTTCCCTTTATGATTCTGTATTCTAATTCACCAGTAGCCTAACTTGCCATGAGATTTGGAAGGCACAAGTGAAGAATCCATTACTAAGTTTTTGGAACCCTTTTGAAGTGTGATGGAAAGATGCATAGGGACTTCTATATACCAGTTTTCAGCCCATTTTTCTGATTTCTTTGCCCTATTGATCAAGAGTATCATGAGAAGACACAACAAGTGCTTGATTTTCATTTTTCTCAGAGGTTAGGCTTCCACGGATATCTCCAAGAGCTCAGTATCAAGGATCCATACACTTGTGTGCTCAGGTACTGACGATTTGAATTTTCCTGGACACCATAAGATGTCCTCCAGACCACTAATTCAGACTCATAGTTAGTGATCTCTAATGCTATGATTTACCCTCTTCTGGAGATGTTAACATAGTTCACAAGGTCTAATTTGTATGGCAAACACTGTTCTTAATCATTTTAGTGGTTCTGTGTTCCTACCTGCACCACAAAAACTACAGTGTTGCAGCAAAATAAAACAGGTCTTGGGACTTTGTCACTCTATTGCATTTTTTAAATGTGCTGACCCAGCTCTTGGTGAGAAGAAGCTTTTGGAAGATGTTTGTTACACAGAACTAAATGCAGTTCTTTCTCCCTGGCTGGTTTTGCTTAGTGGTTAGAGCATCAGATTTGATTCCGGGCAAGGGCACAGACCTCAGTTGTGGTTCATCTGGGGTCGAGCAAGAGACAACCAGTCGATGTGTTTCTCTGACATCGATGTTCTCTCTCTCTCTCTCTCTCTCTCTCTCTCTCTCTCTCTCCCTCTCCCTCCCTCCCTCCCTCCCACTCTGTCTGAAGATAAATAGAAAAATAAACAAACAAAAACAAATGCAGTCCTTTCATGTGAGTTTAATGATGTTTCTGTGTCATTAAAAACAATATAGATTTTATTTTCAAGGAAAATCAACTGGGTGGCTCGGGACAACAGAAAATTATGTCTCAGCGCTGTAGACAGAAGTCCAAAATCCAAGTGTTGGCAGGACCAGCTTCCTCTGGAAGTGCCAGGGAAGCCTCCAGCTCTCTCCCAGCTTCTGGTAGTTCATTGGCTTTAGGCAGCTAGCTCTAATCTTCACAGGGCACTCCCCTGTGTACATGCCTGTCTTTTCATATGGCATGCTTTTTGTAATTATTTGGTTAGGGTCCCCCTCCTCCAGTATGACCTCATCTTCTACAACCATCCTGTTTTCCCCTCATGACCCATCTGAGTCTCCAGAGCCACCCTGTCACTGCCCATGCACACATCTGACCCCTGTGTTCACATAGTCTCAACCCCAGTGACCTGGGGAAAATGGAGGTCTCTGAGCCTCTGAAGACACCCAGCAGCCTTTTAAGAAATTCCCCAGAGACACCTGGGAGCTCAGCTTCATTGGAAGTGCACAGTGTAGGTCAGCAAAGTGAGAACTTGGAGAAGGGGCCGCATAGGGAAATATGGAAGTTGAGTCCCCACCCCTTCCGGAGAGCTTCCTGCCCTCCCCTGGGTCCCGCAAGAGCCATCTCTGTGGCCCATCTTCCCCAGGCAGCCACCCTCCAGCCACCATGAGGACTTTGGGGCCTTGGGGATGCCCAGGCAGACTGAGCCAGTACATGAGACCAGCAGGCAGTTTTGTTTCCAAATATTTACATTTACATCCTCTTGTTTGTATAAAATAAAGAAAATCAAGCACCCACTGACCATTCCTAGATGAAGACTTTCTTGACCCTTTGTCAGTCTTACAAATTTGCTTCCTCCCCCGACCTACCAGAGCACTAGTAGAGCAAAAATGAAGAGCAGAGAACACAGATCGTTTCTATTTAATAAATGGCATGTTTTGACTGACATTAACTTGTCAGTTGTGTAATTTTAAAATTTATTATAATTGTGTAAATAACTAGTGGTCCAATTTTGTTTATTACACTTATGTAATAAGCACTTATGTTTATGCGCACAGGTTTGGCTGTTGGCTTAGGTAGGTGACCCAAGTGATGGTCTTCAAGGCCATCCTGGAAGCCAAACTGGCTCTGATCCAAGTATGTTCATTCTGGGCTGAAGCTTAATCAATAGCACCTTGGGGAAGGTTCCTCACGATGGATTACTCAAGGTGAGGGGAGCCAAATGCACAAACATGTTCACATAGCACTAATTTAAGCAAGTCACATGATTCAAAATAAAAGGGAGAACTACAATCTCGTTACCACGAGACATTGCTAGATTGTTTCACAGGGGATTGAACAATTTGAGTCAATAATGCAATCTATTGCATTACACAGCATAATTATAGAGAATGTACTTTAAAATCCTTTCATAAGTAGTTCTCTGTTGTTTATTTTTAATATTTGACTTGGGGAAAATTTAAACTTTGTATAAGTAGAGAGAATGGTTTTAGAAAATCTCACACTACCCATTACCAGCCTTCAAGAATTTTCATCAGGTGTTTTCCTACAATACTCAGTTCCCTCTGGATAATTTTGAAGCAGTTTTCAGCATATCATTTTATTCTTGAATATTTTGGAATATATCTGTTTGCCTAACATAACCATAACCAATGCCGTTATCATACCTAACAGTCATCCCTTAACATTTCCAAACGTAGGCAATGGCCAATTTCCCGAATGGTCTACACAATTTTAAAACCTTTGCTGTTGGATTGTTTGCATTGGAATCCAATAATAGCCATATATTTAAATTTATCCTCTCTTTTATGTCTAATTTAATCTATAGTTTCCTTATTTTTTTTTTTGTAATGTAATTGTGGAATATAATAAATCACATAGAAATTTTCATAGAATAGGTTTTCTAACTGTATCTCCATGCTGTTTAACATCTTCTGTTCCCTGTATTTGCAGATAATTGTAAATTAGATCTAGAGGGGTGACCATATGCAGGTCTGATATTTTGATAAGAATAATCCAGCCCTGGCCGGTTTGGCTCAGCGGTTGGAGCATCGGCCTGCGGTCCCGAGAGACCCGGGTTCGGTTTCCGCTAAGGGCATGTACCTTGGTTGCAGTTTGTCCCCGGCCCTGGTTGGTCATGCGGGTGGCAGCCACTCGATGTGTCCCTTTCACATCGATGTTTCTCTCTCTCTCTCTCTCCCTCCCACTCTACCTGAACAAAAAAATGGAAAAAATGTCCTCGGGTGAGGATAAAAAAAAAAAAAAGAATAATCCAAAGGTTGTTTGTATATTCTAATAGGATTAGAGGCACACAGAATCTGGAGGTGTTATATGCATGAGACTAAGCCTTTGTATACTGGCCTTGTGTGTGGTTCATTTCTTTACCACAAACTATTGGCTCAAAAGTCCACTGGTGCCAAACTCAAATTTCTGCACACCCAATTGTTTTAAACATAGCCCCAAAATCAGCAGATCTTAGCTATTTAAAGCATGCTTGCTTTTTATACCCGTAAAACTGCCCCACAGGTGCTAGCCATAAATAAGATAATCTCTGTAGCTATAAAAGACCAAGGTTGCTGCTGCCCTTTGGAGCTCTCTGATCCAAAGACTTTCCTCTGGGCTGCAGAGGGACATCACCTAAATATGTAAGTCCCCCTCTGATTCCCTTCTCCCCTCCTCTTTTGGGTGGTATGGCCTCCTTGCCTTTGTCTCTGGTCAGTCTTATGTTATGAGGGACTTCCCCCACGTGCCAGCCTGTCAAAGTAGTGCCTGAATGAAGCTCAGGTGTGCTACTGCCTCCTCTGCTCATATTTTTTTTTTCTGGATCAGCCTCAAAATCTCAAAAAGGAGATGACATCCTTTTGTGGTATAAGCTGGCCTTGATGACCATTACCTGGAGCATTTATAACTCTTGCATTTATAACTTTTTCTTGTGAAAAAGAGGGCATGTATTTCCAGAATGTGGGGCAAACCACGGAACTAGGTCGCTTTATTATCTCACAGTTTTGGAAGCTAGATGCTGATGTCAATGTGTCAGCAGGGCCGTGCTCCCTCTGGGACTCTGGGTAGAATCCTTCTTTGGCAATTCCTAGCCTCTGGTGGGGGCCCGCAATCCTTGGCAATCCTTGACTTGGTGATGCATCATTCCAGTCTCTGCCTCTGTCATCACATGGCATTCTTCCTACCTGTCTTTGTCTTCACATGAAATGATCTCTCCTTATAAGGGTGCAATTCTTATTGGATTAGCACCCACTTTAATGGCTTCATTTTAACTTGATTACATATGTAAAGATTCTATTTCCAAATAAGGTCATACTTTTTATTGGGATATTTTTCATTATTCTTTGTCCAAGTTCATGTATTCTGGACATAGTGTTTTATCATATATGATTCAAGAATAGTTCCCTGGGCTCTGGTTTGTCTTCTTAAAATTCTAAATGGTGTCTTTGGGAAAGTAGT